AGCTAACTGGGCAGAAATGTAATTCCCTCGCTGATTCCGATCAGCTTTCTTTTCCCAAGTGCTGTAGTAATAATAACATGGAACCAGAGCCTTAAAGACAGCTAACAGATTGAGTAACCTTAACAAATACATACATTACAACCCACCAGCAATCACAACAGAATTTGGGTACAGTAGTTTCAATACTCTGACGTAGTAAAATAAGGCTGTGACTATTTGTGCCAGGTGATCCATTGATGAAAATAATATCAGTGATTTCAGCTTCATTTAGCCTTTTCACTGTTACCACTTCTAGAACCATAGGGATAACTGTATTTCAAGAAAACAAGTAGACTTTTCCAATGTTTGGCAAAGTGAGTTGTCTTTTGTAAAGCAATCACAGCCCTAAACATGGGGTGGTGTCTCATAACATTCTTACAAAAAGCCTTTTAAGACTGACTGGCAGATTCAGCCCCACCTTGTTCAATTATAAGAAAGCAAATGGCCTGCAAAGGAAACCTGCTTAAAAAGTCTCCCAGCAGGCACTTTGGCTACTACCCAGTATGAATTACAAATTAAGTAATAGGAAAAGGGAAGAAATAACAGGCTTCAGTAATGTTAGGCCTAAGCTAGTATCAGTCCACTTCTTAGAATCATACTAACACCAAGACGAATCTTTAGTGTGGATTACTTGAATGAGTCGAGTTACATGGGAACATTTGTGAAGTCACATCTCTCTGTGATCTCTCTATAAAGATATAACTATCAGAGTCTTCAGCAGGCTAATGCAAGTGAGGTACCCTTTAAAGCATCAGAACTCAAAGAAACTTGCAAAACTGATTTAAAGACCTACTTAATTACCTGCTTAAATATGAATGTTAATTATTGAACACAGGTAGATTGCAAAACATACCTTTCCTCACCCACTCCAGTGCTATTATAATTGAATAAACACTGCTGACTTAAATGATGAATAACCACGAGCAACAGACTTGGTAGAAAAAGCTGATCTCACAGAAGACTGGGGGAATCTTACTCTTGTGCATGCAGTTTGTCAGGGATTTGTCCAGTTTGTGCGTGAACACAGCGCATCATTTTGGTCATGCTTGCTTGCTCCTGAACACTTTCTTACCTAAATGAAGACAGTGTGCTGCTGTTGTATCTTTCAGAGGCCACACGATTTACACACAATACTGAGCCACACTCTCTTTGCAGATGACTCTGTTCACCGAGACACTGCTGTTCCTGTGCTGGAGGTTTCAGCCTGACAGCAAATCGATTAATCCCACCAAATGTTGACTGTATGACCCATTAACCCAGCAAAGATTTTAGCAAACGGGTGCCATTTTAATGAAGAACAAAATGTAGTTATCAACCATGAGATCTACTGAGATATGAGGAGAAATAGCAAGACCATTAATCATTCCCACAGAATATTTAGAAACTCCCCCAAAGTAATTTGATGGCTCTTTTCTAACCTGTCCCCTTTTTCTGTAGTATGATCTGTCTTTGAGAATTGGACTAGATTGTCATCCTGGATGAAAACCTCTGCCTCATGTCTTCCTAACATAATTTTTAATACAGTATAGACCTTGGCTTTGTAGAGTCCTGGCACCCATTTTTAATGTGGATCTCTCTTTGCCTCTACAATATTATACTAATTGGATGAAAATAATAAAGGCAATTAGATGGCCCTAAGCTTCATGGGAGACTGTCTGACAAGGGAAAATATTTAAATTAAATCCCACAGGTTAATTTCACTCTCAGAACCTCTTCACATGAGAGGATTTCCACTGAAAAGGGGTGCTTCTCTTTAACTGTTTCATATAGTCTTCTCTGCAATAAGTAGAGATAAAGAAGCACTGGGCTTTTAGCTTTCAGGAAGTCCTTGTTTCATTGTGGTGGTGATGTCATTCAATGCACTTTCCCCATGCTTCGAACTAGGATTTCATGCTCCTTGAGGATGATGGGAAACACAGTGCATTTTGGGATTTGGAATTAGTAGCATATTTTGGTTTTAGTCACTATAAATCTGCATTTTCCATATCCTCTCACATAAGTGTAAAAAGCCTACGATATGTCATTTGCCACAAAAGTTCACTGCTATCTGACTCTGAACTTGTGGCTCAGGAAAAAGTGGTGATTGATATGGATAGATAGAAGACATACTTCTGGGTACCCAGTTCCTGAGCAGTCAGAAGGTGGTGGCAGCATTTCCTACTTTATCTGCAGTGGAGCTTATCAAATCAAAGGTCTGGAAGGGACCTCGAAGTTCATCTGGGCTATCCCTCTGACCCCAGGTTCAACTGTCCTATTTCAGTCTTGACTCAAGTCTTCTAGAGACCTGCACCGGGGAAATCTCCATAAAAGCAGAGTAAGAAGTCAGAGTTAAGAAGTGTCACTCACCTCTGAAAAACTTCACACTGGGTATGGCTCTTCCCAGGTTCAGGGAATGCAAGAGCAGAAGCATTTCTGTGGGGTAGGTCAGGTCAAAGGTTTGGCTAGCTCAGTGCTGTGCATCTAAAATGTTGAAATAGGGCACATATGTTGAAAAAGGCCTTATAAGGTATTTCTTCTCTGAAGGAGACTGTAGTCAGACTATCTTGCTTAATAACATCAATAGGTCTATTTTGCATTAACTTTGTAATTCCTTTTTAAAACTGTTTATGCTTTCAACCTGCACGATATCCTGTCCCTTTCAGATTCATCATTCAGTCCTGAATGGAAAAAAACCCTCTTAATTTTCTTGATTTAAAATTAGAGCCCTGAAGCCCTTTGACTATTGAATTGTGAAAAGTAATGGAAGGTTGTTCCTGCTCACCTTTCACAAACCGTTTGAAAGCTGAAGATTCCCACAACATTTAGTCTGCCATCATATGGGAGCCACTCTATGCAGTTATTGTTCTGACATCTTTCTCCTTCTTGCTGTGCTCTTTTTAAAGTGTGTGATCAGAAATATCTGTTGTATTCGAGATGGGAATTCATGGTAGATCTTTATAGGGGTATGATAATTTTTTATTGTTATTTTCCTCTACTTCCTTTCTAACAATGCTAAATATATATGCAATTCGCCTTTTTTTGATCACCAAATATTGCTCCAAGACCACTTGCCCGAGTGGTAATATCTAATTTATGTCCTAATACCATGTATGTATAGTTCATATTATTCCCATCTGCGTTACATGGTATGTGTTCACACTGAGTTTCATCTGCTATTTTGTCACCAATTAATAAAATACAACAAGAATCTCTTTTGCACATCTTCCCATTCAGCTTTACTCTGAATATCTGTGCCATCTGCAACTTCACTCTCTACCCTCTTGCATCTGGTACAGCAGAAGTTGTAGCATAGATTTCCACAGTAGTATCTGGTAACCAACCTCTGCTGCAAAACCTGGCAATTTATTCCTGTCCTTTATTTCTTACCTTTTAATTACTGGGGGGGGGGGGAGGGGCAGTTGTGTGGTGTGACAGTTTATTAGTTATACATTTTCTTTTCTCAAAGAGTTTAGTTTATTTGAGAAGCTTCTTGAAACTTTGACAATCAAAATATACTATACAAAAAAAAAACACTTATTTACATGCTCACTTACTTTGTAAAAGACCCTAATATGCTGGTAACTCAGAAATTCCATTTCTAATAAGCATCTCAACCTTTCCCCAGTGTGCCATACTTCGGCTTTGTCTGTTAAATGTATTTGTTATTTTAGTTCCTACTAATTTACCTTGTACAAGCTGAAGTGGAGGTTGGTTGGAGAGGATTTTGCAGGAGAATTGGGAAACCAGTGGCAGCTTAATGACTTCAGACCCTCAAAGGGTATTTTCCTGGAAATAATCACATGGGAAACTCACAATGTCTAGAAACTTCTTAATTACAAGGACATTGGCACTCAATGGACCACTGTGGCTGTGTGGCACGCTGCCATGAAGAGGTGTGTCTTCTCTGACTATGAGGAGGGCTGTCCAGCCATTGGAAGCTAGAAACAGCTCTGCAAAAATGCTGTTCCCTGTTCTCAGCACATACTGTTTGTCTTCATACCAACCCACTGAATGTAGAAACAAAAGGAATATATTTGTTGTCTGATAGCAGCAGCAATGTGAATCTGTTTGGGAAAGACTGTGATTGAATATACATAAACTGTTATACATTTTCCCTAATAAAAAAAGGAAAATAAACCCAACCAAAAAACAACAAACCAACAGACCCAAACCAAAAAGTTTTCCAGTATGGTTACCAGTCTGAAGAGGAATGCTATTAGCATTTTTCTTCTTATCCCTCTGCACTCATGGTTAAGGAAACCCTTAAGCCCTAAAGCTTTAAATAACCTACCATGTGAGAGGGGCTTTGCATGGTGGGGACTGGTAAGATTTGTGCCTGCAAAGTTTTATGATCTATCTCAGCTTTGAGATGCCAGAGGGAAGGGGAGGCAAAGAGATGACAACTTTGAGTGACTATTCTTTACAGTAGTAATAATGACCCATTAATAATGCCCATGTACTGCCACACTATCTCCATAGCCACCAGTTACCCTCCTGTTATGACCAGACTGTGCTTTGTTATCTGGAGGCTGTCAGATTGAAACTCTCTTTCTTTCTCTAGCGCTTTTATACGTTCCCTTCTTTGTTCTTACTGCTTTTACTTCCACTCATCCTTCACTTTCTCTGGTCTGAGAAACACTGTGTATGAGAGAGCTGGAGACTCCCATGAGATCCCTGAAATTTGTTTCACTTTTTAGTTTTCAGTTTATTTAAAACTATGATGGTAACGCCTGATGCCTCTAAGGGATGTTACAGGTATTAGTTAATGTTGTTGTCTAAGCACCAATTTTCACAAGACAAAAAGAATAAAATAATAGCTAAAGACTCAGTATATAGTAAGAGACTTCTCAAGGTTTGGTTTATTCATGTTGGTAACCTTAGCGGTAACAGCTGATATATGTTTGCGTATTCCTCTAGGATGCACAGGTTATCTTTAAGCTTATGCTTAATATGCAGAATAATAATACCTGCAACATTTGTAGGTGGAGGTAACAGTTCACTGGATTAAGAGGCTGAACATTCTGGCCAATAAACAACAGCAATTGAAGATAATATTCTAAGAAGCTTGCAGTGTTTTAAGTCCCCATCCCACTGGCTCAGGTATCACCAGGAATCAACAGGCAAGTAAGAGTCTAGCAGCAGTGGTACACTAATTTACATCAGAGAGTTAGTATCACTTATTTGATGTAGGAAATGGGAGCTTGCAGTACTGATGACAACAGGTTGAGACATTCAGCACTAACATAAACTATCCTGGCTTTTACTGACAGCTCCTGTTCTTCATTTCCAGAGAAGCATTTCCAAGACACAAGATTTGTATCTTGCTGCTACATGCTTTCTACACACGGTACTTAAGGGATAATCCCCAATGCACTGTAGTATACGAAGCAATAAATGGCTGCTGAGATTAATAGACTGAGCAAAGCTGAAGCATCTAATCAATCTCCAAAAAGTACTCGTTGCCAGAATATTACAATCAAGAGAATTTATTTCTCATGTACAACAAACCTTAGCAGGGAACAGCAGAATATCTGTTCGCCAGTGAGGACTTGAACTGCTGAGCCTTTCTGAACAAGACACCTCACTAAGAAGTGGAGATGTGGGGATTGACTCCAGTCATAACCAAGCAGGAAACATGTACAGGCTTAGACCTGACTGGATGAGTGTGCTATGGGTAATGTTTCCATCTTTTACATGGAAGGGATAATGCCTGATTTCTCTGTGCCATGATATCTTTATTTAAGACAGAAGAATAATAACAAGTATTAGAGCCTTTTCTTGGTGTAAGAAAGAGCAGAATACAAAGAGACTTTGGATATTACTGATCCAGCCCAACTTAGATACAATTTATAGCAGCTGCCAATTTAACTGCTGCAATTTAACAGCACTGCTTTAAAGATCTTAACTGTGCATCAGCAGGGACTATTAAAATGAGGTTACTCTGATAGACCTTGATGGATACCTTATAGCATTTAGGTGGTAGAACACTAACAAGGGCAAAGAGCTCCTGTTTGACAGGGAGCTCTTGTATGAACACATGACCTACGTATGCCTCGCCAGCAGTCCAGTCAGCTGTCAGGCTTTCTGACTTCAAAAGTTGTCTGTAGTTTCCCAATTTCTCATAAAAACACATGTAGTGACCTGCCTCAGAGGACATCACATTCCTGTTGCTGGCCTGAGCCATCAAAACAATCTACAGAGTTCAGCAAGTCACTCTCAAAAGAAATTAATATTTCACGCCATGATTAATATAAAGGTGTGAACCCTGAGGGGGCAGGAAGAAGATGTGAATACCTTTCTCTATACCTCCCCTCTTCACTCACATGCTTTCTTCTGTATCTTTACATTATACATGTATTTGTACTTTCCAACATCTGATCAAATGGAGAGTTAGAATTTTCACTACAGAACTACTTACTTGTTATTTAACATGGTGTGAGAAATGTTGCTGCATGGATTGGATACTCTGGGAAATGCTGGTACCACATGCCATCTCACAGTGGATTCAACTCACTTTGTTTGGACCTCTTCCCTAGATGCCATACATTTTCCTCCTATTCTTCCCCAGACAATTGTTGCTGGTTGTCCCAGTTGTACATGTCCCCTACCACAGTCTCTTCCAGCCCTTTGTAATTTTCAGACTGTTGGTGCTGAACACCTGAAATCATACATGTTAAAGGAAATAGATAGTCAGTGGTCATTTGAAAATCTCTATGTGACCAGATGATGCTTGCTAAGGCTTGTGTGAGAATGCAGATAAAACATCCCTGCTTCAGACTCAGCTGCTTCAAAAAGCAGATCGATACACTGGATTGAATCTGAATCAGGTTTCTAATACTAATCTTTTCCAATTCACAGTGAGGAGAAAACCATAAAATCACAACAAAGAAGATAATGGCTGCTCATTTGTAAGAACTTCGAAAACAAACAAACAGACAATAAGCAAAACCAGATTTACCTTGCCATAAATCCAAGGTAATCTGATTTTCTCTAGTATCTTTGTAATGAATTCTCATTAGTTTACAGATAGCGTCATGGCACTTAAGTGGATAATGTTACATACCATCGTTTATCTTTCTTCACACAGCTGATGGATGCCCACAGTGTCCTTAGGATGTTCTTATTTTTAAACTTCACATGACTGAAATATGTATTAACTTTCAATCTTTCATATAATGTTGTAAAGCCATAATGATTTTTAATGGGTGCAATTAAGAAATTATTTATTAGAACAATACTCTGATTGATCTGAGCTGTCAGTTGCCCAAATAAGTTACATGGGAGGAAGGGCTTCTTTAAGGCTTTATTATGGGTTTCATATACTGAGGAGATCCTCCAGATTTTGTTTACATCAGCATAGATTTGGAGTGAGTGCAGTGTCAGGTATTTTATGTTTCCATCTGTAGAATAAGATCCCCAGGAACATTTTCAGAGCAGAAGGAACTGTAGATATACTTACTTTTCACAAATATAGTGCAGTAGGCACAGTTGTGAGTTTTATTTCTTTTGCTTCAAAAAGCCTTTGGGAGTTTTTTGGAGCCAATTAGGTTCATCAATCACTCCCAGTTCTGAGACTTTTTAAGAGACAAGTTAGAGCAATTGGCATTGCTAACTTGAAATGGCTTAGTGTTGCATGTTTTATTCTCTAATTCAGAAAACCATGGTTTTAGACTATCTCCACATTTCAGACATGTATTTTACAGGTTTCCTGAAAAACACTGTCATCAAAATTTACGTAAGTTCCCATGAGAATTTAAGGGATGGAAAATGTCATGCTAACGTAAAGAAACTGATTTATACTGTGACAATCCATAACTAATTTGAAGAAATATCACCAGTTAATTTGAACTCAGAGCTTGACTTGAGTCAAGCTATTTTGCTATGAAATTATTTTGTTATGACAAGAAATGTGGTTTTCATCTTCAAAATCACATTTTAACCTTTTTCTTTTTTTCCAAGAAAAGAACATCCACTGCTTTTTCACTGAAAAATAGAATCAGCTCTAACAGAGTAACCATTTAAATGCATAATATTTGAAGTCCTGTTGCAAAGAGAAGAGCTGCCTAGGTGGTGAAAACAAATTAACAAATGGAAAGCCAGTCCAATTCTTTATTCCACTGCTGAGTAAAGATACTTAGATGAGACTGTATATCCTGTTTCCAAAGTACCGTTGACTTTACCGATTACATTGCAGATATTCATGGAAGAATAAAACAACAACAAAACCCCATAAAACAAACCGACATCAAAACCCAAAGTAAACCACATGATATACTTATGGCATCATATCCTTTTGACATATGATTCATAAAAAGTATAGAAGGGATAAAACATTATTCTTACTGACTTCACTGGGAATTAGGTCCTTAAAAGAAGAGATAACACTGTCAGAACTGAGGTCACTCAGTCCTGTCCCACATATTTAAAGGACAGTCTTGCCTTCTGAGAAAGACATCATTTTTCTGATTTCTTTAAACTGTACTTAAATATCTACAGCAAGAGAAGTGGATTTGATACTGCTATATGCAGAAATTGACAACATAGTAAAGTAAGTGTGAAGCTCACTGCAGCCGGAAGAGTGGTGCTTTATTCTGAGTGCATATTAGCATTTTTTCTACCTACTTTGCAAGAGATTTGTATATCAGGTACGGGGTAACATGGGCATCAGAGAGATTCCCAGTTACCTGACTTTACTAATTCAGTGAACCAAGAGCAAGAGCCTTTCTGTGCTAGTGCCGTCTATTTTCAATGGGGTTTGCTCTGACACATTTACTCTAATGGGAACTTTTTAAAAAGCAAAACACGTCTTTCCCAACTTTTTCTAGGTACATATATGGCCATCTAATTGCTCCATGAAGAGCTTTTTTGTAATCTAAGCTTTCCTGTTCTTAGCTTGAGGCCATTTCTTCTTGACCTGCTATTTTCTGAGACTCAGTAATTCCCTTCTTTCATTTATGCTGTTGGCTTCATTGTATTTATAAACCATGACGTTTCTCCCTTGAGTTTGCACTGTATTAAACAATACAAAATTTGCCTTATGCATTCTCCATGTGTTCTATGATTCTATGAATATCCCTGTGGTCAGTTGGGATCAGCTGTCCCAGCTCATGTCCCCTCTCAACTTTTTGCACACCCCCAGCCTGCTCACTGATGGGGTGGTGTGAGGGGCAGAAAAGGCCTTGACTCTGTGTAAGCACAGCTCAGCAATAACAAAAACATCCCTGAATTATCAGCACTGTTTTCAGCACAAATCCAAAACACAACCCCATAGCAGCTACTAAGGACAAAATTAACTCTGTCCCAACCAAAGCCAGCACACAGGTCTAAAATATTTTTGTTGCTCTGGACCATATTTGAGGGTTCTTTTTATGAGTGCACAGATTTTTACACTGTGTGAATTGGAACAGCTCATAATTTCAGGTGTGGCTGCTACCTCAGCCATGCATAATCACCTTGACTCAAGATTTGCCTATAATCCTCTCCTTTGATATATAACCATGAAAACCTTTAAACTTTGTTGCTGCACTGCAAATTTTATTTGGTTTCTTACTGTTCTGGTAAATCCTAATCCAGCCCCAAAGAAGACTTGATACTAAAGCTACTTAGCTGATTTGGAGGAAAAAGGAGAACTGAACTATCCTATGGCCAAAATAGCATGGAAGAGACAAAAAAAAAAAAAGAAGGGAAACAAAATGACCTGCATATATGCAATGTATGTAATTTTTCTAAGTACTCCATCTTTGTTTTTTCCTGCAAACCTTACATTGAGATCCAGGCCTTGCCCAAATTAGAGTGCAGCAGCTACTTCAGCAAGGGAACAGCAGACCCTCTGCAGAGGACAAAACAAGCATTCCTGAATAAAGTATTTCAAATGAGCATGACTGGAAATCACATGAAGTGTCTTAATGTTTGCATACCACATTACAAAGGGTATCATTCAGCTACCAATTAGAAAGGATCTTATCAGGCTTTTAAAAAATGATGCACATTTTACACCCCGCAGATTCCTCCTCTAAAAGACAACAGGAAAAAATGCTCTAAATACTGATACAGGAAAATTCTCATGAACATCCTTCCTACACTATACCCATCAAAGGCGTTACTCTGGGTAATTGTTTTTTGTC